CTCTCCACAGCATCACTAATCAACACAGAGAGAACTTCAGACACCAATAAGAACAGAAAAGGGGACAGGGGGTCCCCCTGTCTCAAGCCCCTAGAAGATTTGATGAACCCTCCCACTGTGCTATTCAGGTTGAAAGCAAAGGTAGCAGATGAAATGCAACTCATAATCAGATTGACAAATTTAAAACCAAAACCCATCCTAAGCATAATCTGTCGCACACATTGCCATTCAACCCTGCCATATGCTTTGATCATATCTAACTTCAGAGCCATAAAAAATTTTCACCAGTTCTGAGCCTATTCAAAAAATGAAAAGCCTCATGTGCCATGATCACATTGTCCATTAACTGTCTACCTTGCAAGAAAGTTGTCTGACTGTCATTAATACTAGAATGAATGCAATCCTTTAATCTCAGAGCCAGAATTTTGGACAGAAGTTTGTAGAAGACAGAACACAAACTGATGGGTCTATATTGACTCAAAGTTTCAGGATTAATACATTTGGGGATAAGTGTAATAACTGTATGGTTCTAGTATTGCAACATATTGCCAGAAGAGAAGAAACTTTGAACAACATTAATAACATCTGCTTTAATAATATGCAAGAATTTTGAAAAAAATTTGTTGTCATACCATCCTCTCCAGGGGATTTCTCTGGGTGCATACTAAAAAGTGCAGCTTTAATTTCTTCCTCCTCAACTGGCTTTTCAAGGGATGCATTCATCTCATCTGATATAGTGACTGGAATCAAAGGTAGAATGTTGTCACCACCCCAGGTGCCCTCAGAAGAGAAAAGATTGTTGTAGAACTGAGCAACATGGCCTTCTATCTCTAATTGAGTCTGATATAAGTTGCCTTCTTCAGTCACCAGCCTGGAAATTGCATTGGTTCTTCTTCTCTGGATTGTTAGAGCATGGAAAAAGCCAGTATTCTTGTCACTTCTTTGAGCCAGAGAGCTCTTGATTTCTGCCTCTAGTGACTCTCTTCCAGTTCATAAGCCCTTTCCAGTTCTTTTCTGAGATACTCTCTCTCTCTTCCCAGCTATGATCACTATTAGCTCCTCTCAAGGCAGCCAATCTCTCATTGATGCTGTCAATCTTCTTCTGATTTTCTGATTTGAATTTAGCACTCCAAATTAGTAGTGCTCTCCTTGTGTACTTGATTTTCTCCTTTACTATAAACATAGGGGTCCCAGTCTTGGCCTTCTCCCACACCTTCTGCACTACTTCTGTGATACCCTCTATCTTGAGCCATCTCTTATGAAAAGAGAATCTCTTCTTTCTTATTCCGTCCTCCCCTCCTGTGTCAAGAATCAGGCATGAGGATGCATTGTGAGCCGTTCCAAGGAGCCAAATCCCCTATCCAATTTCTCTCTGTGTAACCTTCTGATTCTCTCCTGTTCCCCCAAGTAAATTGATACCCCTCCATGGCTATCTCTCCCATTCCCATAGATGATATAAAACTATTAAAACACATGAAGCTTCCATCAGATCTTTCCCTGCCCCCTATTTTATCTTCTTGGCAACACAGGTCATTCCAGTCCCCCATTACAAACCATCTTCTCCCACAGTCATCTCTGTCTACTCTGAGCATCTCCCACTACCTTTCTTTCTCAGCCTTATCAGTGCTCATATAGACAAAAGACCCCCAGCTGGCTTCCTTCCCTTGGTGTTGATAGTTGAATATGATATTTCAGTTGTGTTAAAAAATATCCAAAATTTTAAAAATAAAATTAAGACGTAATAGTGTATTAGTGGCCTTGTTGATTTTTTTTTCATGTGGGGTCATTTCGATACGATATTGTGCATTATCAAAATTATTAATGTCCGATTAGTGTATCGATAAAAGTAGGTTGCAATACATGTCATTTTTAATATGCATAATAGTAAATTACATATAATTTCTTTTTAAGTATTTTGCATTTAACTTATCATTAATATGAATTCATAAAATTTTATTATAAAACATATAGTTTACATGAAAAAAAAAAAATATACAAAATTACAAATAGGTCCCTAAGCATTATCTAATTCTCCAAAATTAAATTTAACCCTAAATCCCCAATTTTGCATCCCTCAATTTATGTTTTGCAGGATCCCCGAATGTGCTGAGCCTAAATGGCTGCTTATGGTGCTTAGGAATCTTACTTGGCAAAGAATCATGCTTCGTAATTAGGTTTGGACAAATAATATTGATATATTAAGAATTAATAATCTAGGTTCGGACATTCCATAAATATTAAAAGCTAACTTAGGTATTTTAATATCACTTGTACTAATATAACCATTTAATTCTTTGTAATTTTAAATAGTGAGACATTAAGTGATTAATATATCTCTGACTTTTGATTTGTTTCCTTCAATTAGTTATTAAATTGCAAATGTATTTTAAAAGTTGATAACTTTTGTATTTCTTATCGGTTTTACATATATAATATATCAAATTAATCATCTTTTGATGATCTTCGATTTGACATCCATATTGTATATATGAAATAAATAAATTATATTTATCTTTATAATAATAAAAATTATTATATTTATTATATTTCATTAGAAAAATAAAATTATTTCTCAATTGATATATTTAAGTTTAATATAGTTATAAGTAGTAAGTTAAAAAATTATTATAATATAAAACAAGTAAGTCGCACAAATAAAAAAGTGTCATACTAAATATATAATAATATATATTTTTATAAAAGATATTTAAATTTTCAATTACTTTTTCTCATTAATTTTAGATTTAAAAAAAAATTAGCAAGCACCCGTGTAATACACGGGCGTTGTACTAGTTAGGTACGATAAAAGGTAATAAAAAAAATAAAGTGACCAACAAGTGTTGACTCAAGTGGTAAGCAACTTGATGAAGCTTAAGTAAGGTCTCGGGTTCGAGTCCTTGTGAATGCAGAAAATTCTTGTTGGAAAACTCACTCACTATTACCAGTTGTGCAACCTGGGTCGACCAACCGATTAGTCGGGACAAAACTCGAGATACCGTGGCTGGAGCTGATTCTATACCAGTCAAAGCGAATTCTGGGTCAATTATATCGAACCTCTTTATCTATAATGAATCTAGTCTTTCTGAGCAAACTATGGACTGATTCAGAGAGCCGGAAATCCATTCCATTCATCTATGGCTGGCTTAAAAAAAAAAAAAAATGTATAAAAAGGACTCATGCCATGGGAAAGCAGGAAAATAGAAAACATTCTAAAGAGTGAGACACAGAGTCCGCCGCCAATCATCATCAACAGACAGAGCTGTTACCTATTATATATATATAAAAATGGTGGAAGCCGTTATCTGTCCCTATTTCTTCTCCACGCTTCTCCTTTTCTTTTCTTCCCTTAATTATTCATATCAATTTTCCTTTTTTTGTCCATATAATAATCATCTCTCTCACATTCCTCTCCCCTTTTTTTCACGTCCTTAAGCAGCTCTAGATTTCCAGGTACACAGTTTTTTTTTTTTTTTT